AAAAAAAAAAAAAAAAAAAAAAGAACAGGAAGCATGCATACAGTAGGTGCTCATAGGATTGCTGAGTCAAGCCCAGGACATTGGGCCACTCTGGCCATAAATTGAGATGGCTAGGCAATTTAGGACTTACTGAAGAGCCTGGGCACAGCCAGAGGGACCTCGGAGGAGGGCAGGGACGTGAGTGGGTGATGCTGTGCTAGTACCTTCTATCAACCCTCCCACTCCAGTGATGGGCTTCTCTCCTACCCACAGGTATATACCCCGGTCTGTGGCACAGCCCTTCCCTCCCCCAGGACAGATAAGGCAGGATGGGGAGGGAGGTCCTGGCCTTGGTCTTGGATATGTCAGAGTCCCTCAGGGCACTGTCGCTGGACCCTGACATGCTGTGGCCTCACCAAACCTGCGCTCCCGGGAGGCTGTGGGAACTCCCTGCCGTAGAGTCTCAGCAAATCTGCACTGTCTTTATTCTGTTTTCTAATTCTTCCTTTTGAGCAGGATGGCAGGGGCTGCGGAAGTCCCACTGACTGTGAGAAGGGATTTCCCTGGGGTGACAAGATTGAGGTGCCATAAGAGTAGCCTCCAGGTTAGACTGCTCTGTCACCCTCACTCGAATCTGGAGAGTGGGCACTGGGGAGCGGGTGTTGGCTCTGTCTCCCTAAGGCAAGCCTTTTAACATTCTGACCCAGCAGGCAACGTGGGGGCCTACAAAACAGGAAGACCTGCTGATTGAGCATCCAGGGTGACACCCAGAGGCGGTGAGGGCAGTGGTTTGTTGACCTGTGTCCTGGAAGGCGCTGATTTGGAGATGTGGTGGTTGAAGCAAAATGCCCGCTCAGTTTTGATTACAAAGCTCTCGTGCGTGCTGCTTCGTGTGACTTTGGTCTCGTGAGACATGTGGATTCTGCTTCTCTGGACACAGTTTCTCTTTCGAATTGTCTGCTGGACAGTGTGGAGCTGCATTTGTGTCCCCCTTGAAAGCTGCTTGTGGACAGGATGTTATGGTGGGGGCTGTTACCCTCCTTACTCTGGCCTCCTTTTACAAACCTCCCGATCTTTCTATTCTGCCTTTAACTGCATCTCATGGACCCTCATAAGGACCTTTTAAGTACTTTCTGGAAAAACGTGAGAAATCACTTCTTCCTGGCTGCCTCTCTGGTCTGGAAGCCGCAGGAGGTGCTGGTGGCAAGGTGCCCGGTGCCCCTTGGGAACAGTGTGGTACCCTGGGACTGGGCAGTGGAGGCGTGACGCTTTCCCCTTTATCTTTCCAGGAACCCGACGCTCCCTCCAAATCCAAATCCAGCAGTTCCTCTTCTTCCTCCACATCTTCCTCCTCTTCCTCAGATGAAGAGGATGACAGCGACCTAGATGCCAAGAGGGGTCCCCGGGGCCGAGAGACCCACCCCGTGCCGCAGAAGAAGGCCCAGATCTTGGTGGCCAAGCCCGAGCTGAAGGATCCCATCCGGAAGAAGCGGGGCCGCAAGCCCCTGCCCCCAGAACAGAAGGCGGCCCGGAGACCTGTGAGCCTGGCCAGGGTGCTGAAGACCGCCCGGAAGGACCTGGGCGCCCCAGCTGGCAAGCTGCCCCCTCCACTCAGTGCCCCTGTAGCAGGCCTGGCAGCCCTGAAGGCCCACACGAAGGAGGCCTGCAGTGGCCCCGGCACCATGGCCACTCCGGAGAACCTGGCCAGCCTGATGAAGGGCATGGCCAGCAGCCCCAGCCGGGGTAGCATCAGCTGGCAGAGCTCCATCGTGCACTACATGAACCGGATGACCCAGAGCCAGACCCAGGCCGCCAGCAGGTTGGCGCTCAAGGCCCAGGCCACCAATAAGTGCGGCCTTGGGCTGGACCTGAAGGTGAGGACGCAGAAAGGGGAGCTGGGGGTGAGCACCCCAGGAAGCAAAGTCCCCAAGGCCCCTGGCAGTGGGGCCGTGGAGCAGAAAGGAGGGAGCACCGGGGGCCCCCTACATGCCCATGGAGGCAGCAGGGTCCCCACCGGGTGCCCTGGCCCCCAGCCAGCATCCACCCAGGAGCTGAGCCTTCAGGTCTTGGACTTACAGAGCATCAAGAATGGCATGCCTGGGGTGGGCATGCTTGCCCGCCATGCCATGGCCACCAAGGGGGTTCCAGCCACTGGGAAGGGTGCTGGGGGTGGCCCCACAGGGGTCAGTGGGGCCGGTGTGCCCACTGACACCAGCAAAAGTGAGAAGCTGGCCTCCAGGGCGGCAGCTCTGCCCCCTCCTGTGAGCAAGAGGGACTGTGCCAAGGGCAATGCTGCCCCCAGCGGGCAGGAGGGCCGCACAGCCCCTGGAGAAGTCCGCAAGGCGACCGTGCTGCCAGAGATGAGCGCAGGCGAGGAGAGCAGCAGCTCCGACTCAGACCCCGACTCGGCCCCACCACCGGGCACCGGGCAGAACCCATCTGTGTCTGTTCAGACCAGCCAGGACTGGAAACCCACCCGCAGCCTCATCGAGCACGTCTTTGTCACTGACGTCACTGCCAACCTCATTACTGTCACAGTGAAGGAGTCGCCCACCAGTGTGGGCTTCTTCAACCTGAGACATTATTGAAGCCTCCACGGTTGCCCTGACCCACAGCCGACTGCTGCCTGGGTCTTGCCTCCCCTTCCCTGCCTCTGGTGTTGCTTGGATAAGTGACCCACTCGGGGGCCTGGGTCATAACGGGAGGTGGGTGGTCTCCTTTATAGGCAGGCAGGGAAGGGCCTTCCCCCACGCCACACCCTGCCCTGGGACTTGGGGCAGGAAGCCAATTGCCTTGCTGGGGCCGGGCTTCACTGTATTCCTACCTCTCTGGGCCTCTGCTCTCCCGTTTCACCTCAGGAAACCTGGGTGCACCTGTAGCTCAAGCTGACTCTTGAGAAGAGCGGGTGTGTGTAGCATGGCCACGTTGGTGCTGTTTGAACTGCCCCCCCTGACTCGCATGACTGAATCGCAGCTTTGCTCCCAGTTTCTGAGGGGCCAGAGGTCAGGAGGGGGCTTCTCCCTTGGGGTGGGGAGAGGACGTGTATTGGTGGTAGGCAAGGCCCAGTGGGACTGCTTCAGGGAGAGGCCCACGTGTGCTCCCTCTGCCTGACAGCCAGAGCCCTGCCCTTCACACGGTGCCTGGGCCAGACAGCCAGGGGCTGGGGTCTTTGTGTAAAGGACACTGTAACTGGGCAAGATCAGGAACCCTAAAGAGGTTGGCTTTGCATATGCCTGACCCTAGTTCAGAGTAATATTTACAGCTCCCAAACGTTGGCTCAGAATGCTAGCATGTGTGCGGAGGGGGCTGTTCCCACCGCTTGCAGGGTTTGGAGCAGAAGCGGCAGCTACCATTGCTGTCCTTCTTGTCTGTGCCCTGAGTCCCCCTCCAAGTGCATTCCCACATGCACCCCTGCCTGGGGCCCACCAGAGTAGGTCCCAGTTCTGAGGACTGAAGTTGCTGGACTCTGGAGAAGCACTATAGGCCCAGAACTCTCTGGTCCCAAGGAAAACACAAAGTGGAGGTGCTCAAGCCAGAGGGTGTTCAGTGAGTAGCACCTTAGTGGGCAAGCCTCTTTCCACTCTGGAATGTATTTTCTGGTAATAAGGGACTGGTTTGGTCCTAATCGTGGCCCACAGAGCCTTGGGGGGGGTGAGGATACAGTCCTTCACTGGCTCCCAGCTGTGGTGCACCCCCCCACAACTTTCCTCTTGCTCTGCCCATGCAGGGTCCTGCCCAAGTGGAAGGGCCATTCCTTGGTGACCACTTTCCCTGACAATCCCCCCCTCGATTTTAGGGGTTTCACGTTCTCCTTCCAAACTAAGAAATGTTCCTGTGCCATGTGGGAAGCAAAATGAAGTCAGCTGCCCACCTGGTAGAGGGACCTGTAGGGCCAGATCTGTCAACCTTACTCCCTGCCTGGAAAAAGATACTCATGATTTTAAGCCCCTGTCTCCCCAGATGACCATGTCTCAGAGGTACCTTGTATGATCTCTGATGTATCAGGATTTCTGTTCTGAGACACTAGCTTCGGGCAGAGGTGGGACAGTGGGCAGGCCTGGAGGTAGCAGCGTCAGGCAATCTGGTCACTGGGCCTTTGTAATGCCAAAAAGGACTCGGGGAGGGTGGGGACAGGGACAGTGACCGTTTCTGCTTTTGTTGCAGTTAGGCAGCAGATGTGGGGCTCTATTCCAGTCGCGGGATTGCAGGGAAGACCTGCCCTTTCACACACCAGTCCAGACTTTGAGAGTGGGCGCTGGTTTCCAAGGTGGAGGCCTGCCAGGCTGTGTGTCCCCAGTACCTCGCCTTCCATGCCAAATGGGAAGAGATGGCTTTTGTGTAGCCAAATTGATCTCAGCAGCGTGCCTTTGGGGAGGGACCCATATCTGTGACTGCATTGAGGGTTGCCTGTCCATCTGCTGCCTCAGGGCTAGCCCACGGTGGCTGTGCTGGCTGCAGCAGGAGTGGTGCCCACCTTGGCAGGCTGGGGCTGAAAGTGGACAGTAAGAATTGCCCCTGTGCTGCTCTGGTAGGATATAGGGAGAGTCCAGCTCGCTGCACAGCCCCAGTGCACTGGGCCACTTCCACCAACCTCCCTGTCCCCAGACAACCTGCCCTCCAACCTCCTGAACCTTAAATCTCCTTTCCAGCCAGGCACTGTGCTGCCTTAGAGGCTCCAAAGCCAGACCAACAACTGCTGTCTCCTCCCAGCCCTTGGGGATGGCCCTGGGGTTCCAGGAGCTGCTGGAGAAATGAGGTGTCTGTGCCAGAGCTAACCAGATACGTCCCTAGCAGCAGGTCTCTCCAAACCCTGATTTGGTGCCTTTTGTTTACCAGCTACTTCAATCCCAAAGTTTCAATCTGCAAACACCTTACTCCCAGCCACTTTGCCTTGCTGTGTCGTGCGTTTCTTGGTGCGTGTGAGCCCCAGTGGGTCTTGTTAGATTGTGAGCACCGCCACTGGGAAACCGCACTAAATGCTCAGAATTGGTCATCTTATGTTTACCAATAAATAAAAGTAGTACTTTTTATATTTTTATTTGCTGCTATTTGTGTGTGTAGCTAAGATGCGATGTTTCTTTATCCCTGGGGGTCACATGTGAACTGTGGCACAGTGTGTATATTCAGTGGCTGTATTAACCTGCCTTGTATTTGTTTGCTTCTGTATCAGACAGGAAGAAGTGGCCTCTCTGTCCTCCTCCTTAGGGGTATTGGCATATTTTTTTATATATATTTTTTTGTACCAAAAAGAGTGTACCTTGTTCTGGTGACACTCAAAATTCTGACCTTACTCGAGGGCTTTGGGCCGAGAGATTTCATTAGCGAAAGACTTTGTGGGAGGAATAGGACTTTGAACCAGTGCCAATCACTGACTGGATTTGTGTTTTTCAATTAAAAAGAAAAAGCCAAATCATTGATGTTTGCCACTTCTAATTGCTTTAAACTGTGGCTGTTGGCGTCCTTGAAAGAACAAAAGTGGATATGTTATTGCCTTGGGAAAAGACGATTTTTATTGAAGCAGGACAGCAGCCCCGCCCCCACACTTAACTAGGACCAACCAGTTCAAGGAAACGCTTCCCCTAAGAAGCCCGGGATGCTTTTAGGAAAGGGATTCAAGTCGAGTGCCTAGATGACCAGATCTTACTCAAGTGCATCTCATTGTTCTGGGGGGTTTCTAGCAATCTGGGAAAACTAACACTAGCATACGTTGCAGATTTTTTAAGACTGACGTTAATTTATTTTGCAGGAAAAGACGTTAGCAAACGATGTCAGAAGATTTTTGTCTTTTTGTTAACTCTTAGTATATCAATAAATTTTTTTTTTAAAAACTTTCTTCCTGGTGTACATCATGAGTGATGCCTGAAAACGCAACAGACAGCACTGTCTTTCTTGAGGCAAAATATTCATCGGCAGGGACTGAAATTACTGTGGCATGGAAAAATGAAAGATTTTGGGAAAGGTTTAGCCACTTTCATGGGGTGCAGAAAAAAGATGTTTTTCTAGGCAACGGGAGGGGTTTCAAGAGTCCCTGCACCAGTGCTTCACAAGTGAGGACAGTTTGGCATCCCTGGGGACATTTGTCAGTGTCTGGTGATCATTGTGCTTGTCAGGCTGTAGGACAGGTGCTACTGAGACCTAGTGGGTAGAGGCCAGAAGTGCTGCTGAACATCCCACAATGCACAAGACTGGCCCCACAACAAAAAATGGTCCTTCCTGGGTTGTCAGCAGTGCTAAGTGTAGGAAACTCAGTGACTTTTTTTTAAGAGACGGTCGCACTGTCTCGCCCAGGCTGGAGTGCAGTGGCACCATCATAGTTCACTGCAGCCTTGACATTTTGGGGTCAAGAGATCCTCTCGCCTCCCAAGTAACTGGAACCACCATGCCCAGCCAACTTTTTTTCTTTTGAGACAGCTTCTTGCTGTATTGCCCTGGCTGTTCTCAAACTCTTGGTCTCAAGTGATCCTCCCATCTTGGCCTCTCAAAGCACTGGGAGAGAAACTCCAATTTAATGGGAAAGTTAGAAAAATAATGCGGAGTAGGAATGTCACTGGTATCTGGTAAGTCGAGGTCAGGGATGCTGTAATATAGAATAAATTCACTTTGAGGCATCTCCCAGAAACATTTAAAGGAAACCAAAATTCTCTCTCCCTCCCACCCCCACAGTATTCAAAGATCCTGTGTTAGAAAGCTACTCAACTCGAATCCACCACATGTGGTAACACTTTAAAAGGACACAGCTATAAAATTTCAGCAGAGTTGCTGGGAAGTGCTTGAGTCAGTGCACTACTGTGACTCCTGGCCCAAGGCTCCTGATAGAGGGTTTCTTATCACATACCTTGTCTGGTCCTCTAAGTGCACGCCTGTCCACATGAATTTATTCATAAATTTCAGCCTCAGGGGAGAATGGCGCTTCCTTTGAAGAGAAGAGGGAAGTTGGGCCACTGGTCGAAAGGTTCCTCGGGGCAAGGCCTGAATGTTTTGGTTCAGGAGGAGGGGTCCCCTACAAGTATAAGTGTAACCCCCAGTTCTACCGGGCTCCAGAAAGGCCTGCGAATTCGAAATTAGATTCATGCAGAGAAGGCTGTGGTGGGTTTTCTTTTGTTGCCTTCCGAAGGCTCGTTTTGTTTTGGAGAAGGTGGGCAGGGGTGACCCCAGCGTCCTGTCCCCTGACTTTTGAGAGCTGCGGAAAGGGTTTGGGGACCACCTGGAAGGAGCGAGCTAGCCGAGCAGGACCGCGCGCTGCTCCCACGGAGAGCCAGGCTTTCCAGAGAGCCCATTTCTACAGGGACTTGGCCAGACGTGTGCTGAGCCCTGGCCCACACCAGCCTTTGTTAGTTTCTGCGCTGCTGATTTGATCGCCTAATCCACCGTCTTCGCAGAAGAATGGGCTGAGCTGCAAGGGGCGCGACCCGCCCGAGGGCCCGGCCTCGCGCCGTTGCGACCCGCCCGAGGACGCCTGGCGCTAAGGGTGCCGCGGGGCTAGGAGGACCGGGAACCGGGCGGCTGGACACCTCCTTCCTCCCTCGTGGCTCGAGGCCCGGGCTACAAGGAGGACGCAGGCGGGGGGCCCGTAGTGCTGGGCGCCCAG